CGTGAATTTTCTCACCAGACATCGACAGCTGTGTGTCTCATGCCTGTGAGAATGGAGCCACTTGTGTTGATCTGACCAATGGCTACAGATGTGACTGTGCTCCAGGCTATGAAGGAATCTTCTGCCAAGATTGTAAGTTTTTAATGTTTCGAATTTGAAATGCACATTGATTCTTGTCTTGTGTAAAGAAAAGAGTAAAATGCTTACACTGGCTTCTGATCTCTTCCGAAATTTTCTGTCACCCTCTGCTATATTTCAGAACCTTTGTTCTTTTCCAGTGATCATGGAGTGTACTAGCAATCCTTGTATTAACGGAGGTACCTGTGTGGACCTAGTGGCTGACTACCGCTGTGATTGTGTTCCTGGATACACCGGCAAAGACTGTGAAACAGGTAAAGCTATAATTTGCAAGATTAGTATGTCTTTCGAATGTTATGATTAACGCACATTCCCCGGTTCACACCATCGTGCGTGTCTCGTTTTTTATATCTATAGATATTAATGAATGTGCCAGCATGCCTTGTTTGAACGGAGCAACATGTCTGAATTTAGTGAACGGTTTCCTGTGCTTGTGTCCAGTTGGATACTCAGGGACCTCTTGTGGTGTAGGTGAGTTGATGAAGCAATTACCGAGATGAAGTTATATGTCACAGCAGTTTGTTTAAATACTTTGCAACCAATTTATCAGTTGATGTTATACCGGTATTGTAGTGTCATTGGAATAAAAGAATCATTGCATTTACAGTCAAGTCGCAAGTGCAGTAGATCAGCAAGGTTCAGAAAAGAAAATGAAGTGAAATCACATGTTGAGTGACAGTTACGAAAAGTCAAACAGGAGTTTCGGGTGGTGCACATACGATTGTTATGTTGGAGCCTCATTGATATTCAATAGCTGGTCAGTGTTCATAGTCTAGGAGTATAGACTAATAAAGAACTTCTTCCGTGACCAGTTTTCAACTTCCATGCACCATAAGTTGTTTTTTTTTAATCATTTGCAGAGCTGCCAGGCCATTTGTTTAACAGAGAGATGCAAACAGGACTGAGGTCACAGGGTGGGCTTTGTGCATGCTGGGAGACTTTGAGAATGGTTCATAACAGTGAAGTAACTGAAATGGTGATTATTGTTTTCAGATGTCTTAGAATGTGGCAGCTTCCCTTGTATGAATGGAGCAACTTGTCTTGAGATGGTCAATGGATACCAGTGCCAGTGTGCTGCTGGATTCACGGGAGAGAGTTGTCAAACAGGTATTGAAATCATAGAATGATTTTAAGAATTGAGCAAATGTCATTTATTTTCCTGTGCATTTTCTAGACCTGAATAAATGCCATTGTTGATTGTTTTGCTGAGCTTGTTTGTGAAAGTTTTCTTTTCAACTTTTGTTGCAGATATCGATGAATGCTCCAGCACTCCATGCTTGAACGGGGCAACGTGCATGGATTTGGTGAATGCGTACCAGTGCAGATGTGTCGCTGGATACACTGGCATTCGATGTGATACACGTAAGTGTTGTTTGGGATAAGCTTGGAAAGATTAATACGCTGTCCCCACTCGCCCAATAACCTGCTGTCCCCACTTGCCCTTAACCAGCTATCCCCACTTGCCCTTAACCTGCTATCCCCACTTGCCCTTAACCAGCTATCCCCACTTGCCCTTAACCAGCTATCCCCACTTGCCCTTAACCTGCTATCCCCACTTGCCCTTAACCAGCTATCCCCAC